CTCGACTAGCTTTTGCCAATTTGTGTCATTTATAGTGTACGCGAGATATCCGCCTGTCAATTAAGGGACGAGTATACTGCGCAGCAGTTCGTTCTGTTCTACTTTACGGCTGTGAAACATGGCCATTAAGAGTAGAAGATACTCGTAGGTTACTAGTATTTGACCACAGATGCCTCAGAAATATTGCTCGCATCTGCTGTGTTCACTCGGTAAGTAATACTGAGGTTAGACGCAGGGTATTAGGGAACGATGGTGAATCAATTGATGAGGTTGTGAATCTTCGTCGACTGAGATGGTTGGGCCACGTGTTACTTATGCCTGAACATCGATTACCACGACGCATAATGTTGACTAGTGTAGGGGATGGTTGGAAGAGAGTTAAGGTCGGCCAAACCAAAACATGGCATCAGTGCTTGAAGTCACTAACTTCTAGTCTGAGCGATGTAGGTAGACGCAGACTACCTGGTTGGGGTCCGTGTGACTATCGTAACCAATGGTTGGAGACTCTGGGTGACATGGCTCAGAATCGATCACAATGGCGTAGGTGTATACACTCTTTGTCTTTCCTCAAACCTTGAGGTTAAAGTTGCTTCATAATTTTCTTCCTTCCTATACTATATCTTTATATACAACCTTTTTTTATATACTACCACCACTAAATTTATTACTTCTATGAATCCGGTGTTCATCTTGTTGTGCTAACGAGGTATGGCAACTTGGACCGATGCATATATGTGCCTGGTCCTACGTTGTCGCTGACTGACTGACTCTACCTTCTTCATAACTTATTTTTGCTTGACTGACTTATATTTTCTTCTGGAATCGTATCTCCGTTCCCTAATCTTTCCTATCACTGTTGATAGTGTTACTACCTCTAATATTGTGGGATTTCCCCTGACACTTTCATCTTTCTGTGCTTATGAGGTATGGCAACTTCAACCCATGCACATAAGTATAACTTTTACCGTTGTAACTGACTGACTGATTGAAACTTGTAATTGTTTACCATTTTTTTCAGTGACTAACAGATTGGGTTTATTTTGACATGCTTTTTAAATGCTGAGTGCCATATTCGTAAACTATTCAATTCAGAGAACATAATAACTACGAATTCCTCTTTCAAAGCTACAGATCTTCACCATATGGATAATAATTGTGTTAATGTCAGTTTTACTATGATTTTATAAGACATAGTCTATTAGTAACCCTTGAATTCGTATATTCTCCTTACATATTAATAGGTGTAAATTATTCTACAAAGTGGATAATGAATGGAAAGAGCGTGGACTTGGAAATTTATTCATCAAACCAACGACAAACGATAAATTCCAATTACTCATTCGAGCTGATACTAATCTCGGTAAGGTGTATAGAGATTTAAAATAATGCAGATGCAATAATGTATTTCACCTCAGGATTGATTTTAGACTTTCCAATTAAAATTTACCCAGTACTTTCAATATGACAGAACACTTTCAATAGGCCTTTAAGTTCATTTGTATATAATAATAATAATAATCAGTACTATTATTATTGTTATCATTATTATTTACTATTATTACTATTATTATGGTTTATTATTATTACTGAGCCGTCTTAAAATAATGTCTATTTGTAGGGCTCGAAACTACACATATCCGTCTATCAATTAAGGGACGAGTATACTGAGCAGCAGTTCGCAATGTCTATCTTTTATATACTACAACCACAAAATTAACTATTTCTATGAATTCGGTGTTGATATTGCTGTGCTAACGAGGTATGGCAACTTGGACCGATGCATAGATGTGCCTGGTCCTACGTTGTAGCTGACTGACTGCACTGCTGAGGAGTCCCACAATAGGACAAAACAGCCGTCCAGTGCTTCCAGGTTTTCCATGGTGGTCTAGCTTCAATTGACTCATGCTTTCAACTATGCAAATACTAAATCTCCACAAAAACACCTGATTTGATTCTCATAATTTGTCATTCGAAATCGGATATCTTCAACTATTTATTAATTTTTTTACTCCCAAAATTTCCAATTTTCTAGGGAATATATTACTAAATATACTGGTTACAAAAGAAATGCCTATTAAACAACAGAAAAATAACTTGACATTAGTTTGTGTTCCCTCACCACCTTTACCGTCCCATGTTAAATCATCCGTTAACAATGAAGAAGATAATGGACAACCAAAACCAGTTCCAATGTTGATACGTGTGAAAACTGAAGAGGGTGCTACAACGTTACTAAATCAAATGGATTCGCATAGGGGTGTCTCAGCAAAGTCATAATATTAAGATAGGTTTTTTCCCATTGTTTATGTCTACCTCTTATTGACTGGAAATTATGTTTTGTGTTCTGAAGATACCATTCAATTTTTTTCCGAAAAAAGATCGTTTTGAAAATAACTTTTGTTTTTATGTGAACCACATTGTAAAAAAAAGCTGTTGTGAACTTCTTCTTTTAGTAAAATGAGGATTTTGACTGTTACTAGTTTCCCTATATGTTACGTCTACCCGACAGCTACTCGAAAAGCTTATCTAAGTTTGGGAAATTATTTGCGTATAATTGGTATTTGATAGTAAAACTAAAATTACCTTAATTAACATTAAATTAAATCACCAGAATAATGAACGTTCTGGATTCTGTGGATAAGCGTTAGTGATTAGATGTCAACCTTAATCGGTTTAGGAAGCAATAATATTTATTACAGCTAATACACATTTCGTATGAATAACATTTCTTAATTTCCCATATAAAACAAGAGAATCGGTCCTTGAAATTGTACATTCACATGTGTTCATAGTGAAGTGGTATTCATTTTATCCATTACTATTCATTTAGACACAAACATTAGTAAAAAGGGGCACCAATAATATATGCACCAAACAATAAAGATGAGATTGTGAAGAGATAGAGAAAGGAAGGTATGATAGGAAAAATGAATGAAAATTATTGTGTGAGAGAGATAATAATAATGATGGGAGAAACAGTCCAGTTAAGAAAAGTACAAACAAAAACGATTTTTTCGGTTAAATTCCTCCTCATTTATATGAGTTACACCAGGACCACTACCGTCTTCGATTCTGAACCACTGTGTTGCACCAGGGGGTTTTAAGGGACCAATAGATGTCAGTCCTATACATCTTCCTTTCATACCACGACAGTATGTCATGCACTAATCGTCTCTCCGCTTTTTCCAACTATTCCCAGCGTCCTTAAATAATGCACGACGTGGAATTCGCTCGGCCGATATTCGGAGTATATATACAAGCCATCAAGGTCAGTTTTTCGAGATCAAGTTGCAGTCACCCTAGGAATTGGAGTTTCTAGCCATTGTGATCGATTCTGAGCCATGTCACCTAGAGTCTTCAACCATTGGTTACCATAGTCACACAAACCCCAACCAAGTACTCTGCGTCTACCTACATCGCTCAGGCTAGACGTTAGTGACTTCAAGCACTGGTGCCACATTTTGGTTTGGCCGCACCTAACTCTCTTCCGACTATCCCCAACACTAGTCAGCATAGCGCGTCGTGGTAATCGGTGTTCAGACATACGTAACACGTGGCCCAACCATCTCAGTCGACGAAGATTCACAACCTCATCAATTGATTCACCATCGTTCCCTAATACCCTGCGTCTAACCTCAGTATTACTTACCGAGTGAACACAGCAGATGCGAGCAATATTTCTGAGGCATCTGTGGTCAAATACTAGTAACCTACGAGTATCTTCTACTCTTAATGGCCATGTTTCACAGCCGTAAAGTAGAACAGAACGAACTGCTGCGCAGTATACTCGTCCCTTAATTGACAGGCGGATATCTCGCGTACACTATAAATGACACAAATTGGCAAAAGCTAGTCGAGGCTTCTGTATCCGAGGTGAGGTTTCGTCGCACACCACACCACAAAGACTGATGAGGCTCCCACGAGCATTTGACACGCTCAACTACTTCACTCCCTATCATTAGCTCAGGTGTCGATGCAACTCAATCCTGAAGTAACATTTTGCATTTCGATGGGGAGAATCGCATCCCGAACATGCTTGCATTGTTGCTTACGGTAGTCAGAAGACTCTGAATTTTGTCAGCATATTCACCAAGTAGAACTATTTCATCGACATACTCCAAATCAACAAGTGATTCCTCCCGGTAAAAGTTCAAATCCAGGAAATTTAGATGAGGAAAGTGTTATCTCTAAAAGCATGTCAACGACAAAGTTAAACATGAATGGAGAGAGTGGACAGCCCTGACGGACAGCACTTGAGATAATAAATTCTGATGACAGTTCGCCATCAGTTCTCACATGGCCAGTTGTGTTCCAGTAGAGGGTCTGTATAAGGCTAATGTTGGTAAGTGAACCTCCTGGTAAGAGATCAACTCCTGGAAATTTAATCGACGATAGCGCTATTTCCAGCAGTATGTCTATGATGAAATTAAACAAAAAATGTAGATAGTAGACAGTGTTGTCGGACAACACTTGAGGTTGCAAAATCACATGACAGTTCGCCCTAAGCTCTATGATGAAAAATGGAGATTGTAGACGACCATCTTCAATTGCTTTCGTTTGGTAACTGCCTAACACCTGTTACGGCTGAACTCTACTGGTCACGGCTATTTTCGAGATTTTCTTCTCTAAGCTAGTCACTAGTGAGCAAATAAGAATATTAGCAATGAAACTAACTAATTTTTTGCTTTTCCATTTCAAATTCTCGATGTACTACTTGTGCTATATCTTGTGATTATCGACGCTGCAGTATCTATGATCTTGATCAAACATTCACTTTCTATATAATAACGAACAGTTCTAAGTAATGAGTAAAGAATAACACAGAATTGCGAATATATAACTTCATATATAGAAGTTTTAAAAAATCTCATACATCATTCACAAGATAATTACAGGAAATAATGCAGATCAGGCGGAGTTAATGCAGATCAAAGGATCACTAAAAATAAGATCAGATGTGAGTGATCATAAACAGATATTTCTATTCAATTGCTTCTCTTCTAATTTTTATTTTCGTCCGGAGAAGTTTGTAAATCAGAATAAACAGGAAATGATGGTTTACTTTGAATGTTAGACGATTCTATTTTATCAGTATGTAACAAACCTTGTTTAATCATTTCTTGGCGTTCTACATTATATTTTACCTGAAAAAGAAAACAACAACAGACACATGATGTGGATTGTCATTATTATTATTAGATTGAACAATTTCCACTATCTTGATAACATTATCAATAAATGTAAGGATCAATATCGCCAACGGTGTGATTAACTTTGAACACCAGTCATAGTGTGGTGTGAACTACTCATATCGACATTAGTAGTATATATCGTGAGTAAGGAATAGAATATCTGACAGCAGAAGATTGAGAAGATCAAGAAGTGAAGAACAGAAATAAAAAGCAATTTGTGTGGGAATCCAGAAACAATGAAGCGTGAGACAATTAAAGAACATTTTGCAAATAGAGTATCAGAGTATAGTTTTTGTATTTTATCAACCAACGTTGTAACTTGTGACAAGTACAAAGTCGATTGTCCTCACATGTGTTCTCATTTACTACAATAGGACTACATGGGTATGAGCAATGTTCAATAGATCTTTTGTGGAGTGTTACGTGTTCCTGTAAATCTTTGACCGTACCGAATATTTAAAAAAGTAATTATTGGTTGATAAGTACGCTTACTCAAATACTTTTGTTAAGCATACATATAGTCGTTGGTTCTTCTGCTCAGGAATTAATGGGACGGTAAGATGTTATGCTTACTAATATATCGCAGGCTGGTTTTCGGTTAGAAAAAGGAAAACGTGAATTCCTGCTCGAGCCTGTCAGATATTTTGGAAATATATTTCCCGGTCTATTAGTTACAGTCTGTCACACTCACAGACACTTTTGGCTTGATCTTGTATGATTTTTATTTTATGATGTGATACTGTCTGATTTGCTTGCATATAAACTAGGTATATTTAAAGACTGCATTTTGTCAGTGTATTCTGCGAACAGAACTATAGCATCTCCGTATTCTAATTCAACATGCGAATCTCCTGGTAAAAGTTCGATTTCTGAATAGTCAGACGATGGAAGTGTCATCTCTAAAAGCATGTCTATGTCAAAGTTCAATTAAAATGGGTAAAGCGGATAACAATGTACAGTACGTAATATACCTCTAATTCTGCTGCACGACTAAGACGTTTGCTCTTAGATACAGCATTAGCTTCTATCTCTTCTTCTGTAGGTGGATTAGAACGTCGATGACTCAACCATGAATGCCATTCAGGAGGTATAGACGATAATTCTTGATTATTTCGTGGAAAATAAGAAAATTAATTAGTAGTAAAATTGAAAGTACAAAAAAGACTTGAAAAGTATTTTATTCCTTTAACCTATTTTCAATAATATTAAAAATATCAAAATAATTCATAAAGGCTTTTGCAACTATAAAGAGTCGAGTAGCCGAATCGTTTCATATGACGCTAAATCACTCTGCCCTGAATAGGAAAGAAGGACTGCATATCCATTTAACCAGGGCTGTTTATCCCAATAAGTATATTTGACCTTATTTATTCTCCACACAATCTATATATATACACCTAAATATTAACCCCTCTTCTTGATATTACAAATGTATACATTTTTCATAATCACACTCTGACACAAATTAACACAGTAATAAAGCATACAAATTTATCTTGACCAAGAATGACATATTCAGACCCATTATGATTTTCATTATACCAAACTATTCTGCATTGTTTCCTTTGTACTATTTAAAGTTGAGTCTATTTAATTTCGGTTATTCATTCACTGTGAGGAAGTTGCTTACATTAGGTCACGAAACGTCAGAAATACAACTTTTCTACTCATTGGGATATAATAAAAATATATTTAGTATTCATTTTTTACCCAATGCTCAATCTATTTGAACCTATCAAGTCCAACCTGTAGTGTACTTAGTTTTAGCCTTGTGAAGCTTATCTATGAATTTAGGAAAAATCGATGCTCTTCGAGGACTGGAACTTGTCGAACTAAGAGAAACCTTGGAGTATGATTTTCATCAAAGATGCATATAGGAACTGATTGATGCCGGAATATAACCAATAGGGCATATGAATTTTTAGTATATGTACCGCCTAAGCGAGTAGAGCTAAAATGCAGCTGAACGATGTAGACTTCACAGATGATCCGGCTCTTTTATCACACATGCAACAACAAATGCAGGAGAAGACAAGCAGTGTAGCAGCAACCTGAGCAGCAGTAAGTCTCAACTTACACAAAGGGAAAAGAAAGATTTTCAGACATAAAACAACACAACATGAACCGATCACATCACACTTGATGAAGAAGCTTTGGAGGGTGTAAAAACCTCTACATATCTGATCAGCATCATTGATGAATACGGTGGATCTGATGCACATATGAATGCGGGGATTGAGAAAACAAGAACAGCATATGTACAATTGAAGAACATCTATAACTCAAAACAACTTTCAACCAATATCAAAGTGAAAATTTTCAATACAAAGGTCAACACAGTCCTACTATGTATGGCGCAAACCTGGAGAACTATGGAAAGCCATCATCCAGAAGACACAGGTGTTTATTAACAGTTGTCTACGCAAAATACTTGCATCCGTTGACCAGACACTATCAGCAACAACTTACTGTGGGAGAAAACAAACCAGATTCTAGCGGAGGGAGAAATCAGGAAGAAGCGCTGGGAGTGAATAGGAAACACATTGAAGAAAGCACCCAACTGCGTCACAACGCAAGCCCTCACTTGAAATCCTGAAAGCCTAAAGAAAAGAGGAAGATCAAAGAACACATTACGCCGAGAAACGCAGACAGACATGATGAGAATGAACAACAGTTGGAGAGAACTAGAAAGAAAGGCCCAGGACAAGAGTGGGTTGGAGAATGCTGGTCAGCGGCCTATGCTTCATTGGGGGTAACAGGCGTAAGTAAAGCAAGTGAATTAATGCTACAATAAGCGGTATTTGATGCCGGTCATCTATAAAGCTAAAACAACACAAAAACACTAAACTTTGATTTGTTAATTCAAGCAAACTACTACTTACATACTAATACACAAAAGTAAAAATATGGCTTACAATTGACTTCGTTTCATAAACTGACCTACATCTAAATTCCCATGTGAACTTTCTAATTCATTTTGTCCAGGCATAAGAAAAAACCTTTTTGGCAATTTTGATAAATGAGTATGTTCACTTGCTTTATTTGGTGGTGCTTCAAAATATCGATTACCCGATTTATCTATGCCAACTAGACGTGGTCGTTTGCGATGAAACATTACTCGAAAAGAAAGAAATATTTTGTTAAGTATAGATCGATTTACATTTGATGTTGTCATGAGTGTGCTAAATAATTTAAATGGAAAATGTACATAAAATAATATCGAATTAGACTTTGAACACTAATAAAGTTATTGTAGCATGATGCCTCGAATATGATCTATTGTTGATAATTTATCAAAAAAGGAGACAATATTTGTTATGAGCATCTATTTAGTTGTTAGAAAAAAAACAGGATTTTGATTATTGATGGATCAGTTTGATCAATCGCAGTCCTAAACATCAACGAGAAGATTCAAACAAACTATACCAAGTGAATTCAAACTTCACCCCATTGCACAAGCGAGTGGCTATCAGGACTCAGTAGCTGAGTGGATAACGCGATGAAGTTTGAAGCGCAAGGTACTGGGTTAGAGTACTAGAGTGAACATCAACAAGTCTGAGATGCAGGTACATCCAACTGACGGGTCCCAAATAAGACGAAACACGCGTCCTGGATTCCACTGCTAGCCACTGTCCATATTTGCTTAGAAATTTGATTATGAAAAATAATGCACAATGTGTTCGGTGGACAATTTCTCGTAAGATCGTATATTCAGTGTAAACTACCAAATGAACAGATCATAACTAATAAGGAAAATAGGTCCCTTTCTTTAGGCAAAATGATACACAAGAACGAATATTATTAAGTTTCATTTCAAGTAATCGTAAGATATGAATTTCCGAAACAATCACACGTCAGGGGAATCAAGAAATATTCCAGTTGAATGGGTAAGATATACTTCGGTTATTTCTATTGTGACTTGTTCATAAATTAGGTTGAATTACCTTTCGTTTTTCAACTTACAATTCATCATAATAACAGTCACTTAAAAGTTCCAAACACAATCAACATACTCTGTCAGTTTATTACTTTTAAAAAGCATCTAATAGAATGCACAGAATTACTGAAATATATAGACTTTTGACAGAAATCGGGTAAAAATAACCGTACACTGAGAATACCACTGATTAGATGAATCTACAATTTGATACTAACAGATACTGTCCAAAAATCAAGCTTATCGAGCTTTGTAATTAAAAGCCTGTAAGTGTTGAGGGAATATGAATATATTCAGATGGCTTATCTGTTGTAGCTATCCGGTGAGACAGATATGCAATTGAATTATAGTGAAGAATACAGATGAGAACAACCGATTATATTTAGCACAAAATTATAGAATTATTTGGTAAAATAGAAAAACCATACTCCAATACTTCATTTACAAAATGTTCAATAATTGTCTCAGACTTGCTTGTTCCTACATTTCCATAACAATTACTTTTTGTTCCCGCTCTTCCCTACTCCATCTTCTCAACATTGTGCTGCCAAACATTCAATGCCTGACTAGCGTCATATACTACTTATATCGATGAAAGTAGCACACATAGAATCATGTTTAATGAAAAACAAAACCAAGACCAAAACATATTGGAACAAAGGATTAGAAAGTTTGATAAATTAGTTTTAAAATAAGAACCACGTAAACTTACTATTTTGTATGATAAAGGATAAATCTGGGTGTAGAACGTGTGTAAAGGCCTAGAGGTGGTGCACATATTTTCCATAAATTCTTGACAGGAGTAAGTTGCGCCTAAACAAAAAAAATAAAAAGAAGTTATACAGAATAGTTTAAAAATGAATCTTAATAGTTCCTAAACAAAAACGGAAATCTACAATCGCCATTTTTTTGTAAACAAGAATGAAAGCATGATTATTGAATTAAGAATATAAATGTAGATCGGATCTTTTCTTCTGAAGCAAAAAACACCTAATTAAACTTAGTCACACTTAAAATTATTAGCTGTAGCTAAATAATGTATAATCCTCTCACTCAATAGTATATATAATCTGAGAACTAGTGGACTGTGTTTAAAAAAAAAGCAAAGGCCACCCCACCAGGATTCTCCAACTAACTCTTTGCTGGGCAATCCATTCCAGTTTCTATTCATCCTTTTCATGTCTGATTCCAATTCCAGGTGCAGTGTGTTCTATGGCCTTCCTCCTTTCCGTTTATCTTCAGAATCACAAGTTAGAACTTGCCTCGTGATGGAGTTTGGTGATTTCCTCAATGTATGTCCTATCTACTTCCATTACCTTTTCCAAATTTCATCTTGAGCTTGAATCCGGTTTGTTCACTCCCAAAGGAAGCTTTTGCTGATGGCATCCGGTCAACGGATATTGAGTATCTTACATAGAAAATTGTTTATAAATACTTGTACTGTTTTGATGATCGTTGTGATTGTTCTCGAAGTTTCAGTTCCATATAGTAAAACTATCTTGACGTTCACATTGAAGACTCTGACTTCAATATTGATTGACAGACAGTTCTTTTAAGTTCCATATATTCTTCAACTGTAGGAATGTGCACCTTGCTTTGTCAATCCTTGCCTTTACGTCTGCACCAGATCCTCCAAGTTCATCGATGATGCCACCCAGACACATGAAAATTTCTATCTCTTCCAGAGCCCCTCCATCAAGTGTGATTAGGTTGGTGTTCTCCGTGCTGTGTTTTAGGATGTTGCTTTCCCCTTGTGTATATTGAGGCCTACTGATACAACGATTGTCGCAACCGCTGGCTGACTTCACCTGCGTTTGTTGATGTGTATGGGATAGGCGAGATAGGTCATCTGCGAAGTCCAAATCGTCTAGATGCATCCAAGTTTAAATAGTACAACGGAACAACACGAATATTATGTGATCAATCAAAAAACATGTTATTTATTTTCTGAAGAAGTGGCTTACACTGGGACACGAAAAGTCAGAAAATCTAATTTTTCTACTCATTGGGATATTACAAATATATTATTCATTTATAATCATCAGTAGAGTCGCGATTAGGTTTGAGCACAACCGATCCTAATGGAAGCCTGCCTCTTGATCTTGAAGTAGGGCGTCTGCGGAATCCTTCATCCGGTTCAGCAATGCTCTGTTGAAACCTTCTCCCAGTACTGATAGTAATGTGATGTCTCTCAGTGATTGGCTTGCTTCCTTTGTCTTTGATCGGTCTCCCTGGTTTACAATATTTCCCTACCAGTTTCTTCGTTGCATCATATAGTTGTTTCATATTTCATTCACTTGCAACTTTCTCCGCTGTCATTGCTAGGTCTTCCACGTATTTCTGCTTGTCGACTCGAATGCTCCTCTTCATTCTCTTGTTTGCTTCTGTATATTCGGCCTGTCCCTCGGCTTTTTCTGCTGTCGTCCAACTGTTGTTGATTTCTGTCTTGTCTTCTTGAATTCTCTCTAGGGTTTCCATAGAAATTCACTCTAAATTTTTCTGCCTCTTGCAGCCCAGCACCTCGTGACGCGTTGAAGTCGGTGCTTCTTTGATCTCTTTCCAATTGTCCTCCACCGTAGTTTCTTCTTTCAGTAGATCTTGTAAGGCTTGGGAACTGTTGTTGAGAGTTATCTTGAATTCGTGGAGTTTGTCAGTATCTCGAAGGATGATTGTATTGAACCATTGTACTGCTGTTTACACAGCTGTCCAATGTTTATTTAGCTTCGGTTTCATTTTGGTCACAACTGGCTAATGATCTGAAGCAATGTCACTTCCTCTGTCGGTTTTCAGGTCTTCCAGTGACCTTCTGCATTTTCTAGTAATGTAAATATGATCAATATGGTTCTCCGTGATGTGATCGGGTGAGACCCATGTAGCCTTGTGTGGGAATATAGTTACATCTATAACCACTTTGTTGAATGCACACAAATTTGCAAATCTCTCGCAATTTTTATTCCCTTCTCTCAGTCAGTCCATTTCGTCCTATGATATCTTCATACCCGGTGTTGGTCATTACCACTTTGGTGTTTAAGTCTCTTATGAGGATGGTCAGCTACTCGTCTGGACACTTCCATACTATCAACTACAGCCTCTGCTAAACCTGATCTTTATCGTCTTCATTGTTATTATTCGTGGGTGTATAGCATTAGATAACATTCATTGTAATTCCCTACTTCCTTGTTTTACAGGATGCTTTGGTGATCCTGGATCCCATCCTGTTAGTGCATTTCATAAACCAGCTTCCAGCTGAAGAGGAAATTAGGAAAAGACGTTGGAAGTGGATAGGACATACATTAAGGAAATCACCAATGTGCATCACGACTCAATCCCTAACTTGGAATCCGGAAGGGAAGCGGAAAAGAGGAAGGCCAAAGAACACACTACGCCGGGAAATAGAAGCCGATATGAAAAGGCTGAATAGTAACTGGAAAGGAAGGCTCAGGACAGAGTTGGATGGAGAATGCTGGTGAGCGGCCTACGCTCCTCGACGGGGGGTAACAGGCGTAAGTAAGAGTGCATTTCATGCTTCTTAGGACAGAATCAGAGCAACTCCCTGTGTGTGGAGCATTTTCTTCTTCGTGACCAGAGTTCTGCAGCGTCTCTTCTGAAGCTATTCTTTTCTCTTCAGCTTGGGTTCAATGTGTTTCCCTGACTTCGAACACTGTCAAGTGGTATCTCTTCAATTAACAATACTTATCGAACTTTAAAACAAGTTTTAAAAGTGGGTCTAATTTCTGATTTTACTAGTTTTGGAAAATATCAGTTTATATGCATGAACCACCTTATTTACGAGTTTGATTAGTAAAAATTTTATAGTTCATTAAACTCGTTGGTTTGATTTCATAGCTTTTATTGATCTTCTGACCATCAGTACGAAATTTAAATAGAAGCTATTCGGAATTCTGAAGACGGAGACAAGACAACCGCCAGAAATAACAAATCAAGGTCGACAATGATGAGCAGAAATTCGAACAGCTCACTTAATTCTGAAGTTTGTGTAAATGTTATCCAGAAGGACAATTAAGCCTGAAAACGAAAATCTACCTGTATTAGGATAAAAACGCACCGACGATGTGTTCACATTGAAGTTCTGTTTGAAAATTAATCATTAGCAGAGGGACTAAAAAACAATTTGCCAGAAGTTTGTGAAGTTGTATATTATTTATTTCAATGATTATAGGGAAACTACCCTAAACTCACAGTTTGAACCCAAAACTTTACTTCCTAATAATTTTGGTACATAAAGAAATAAATGACAATATTTTTCTAATTAGTTTTGTTCACAACAAACTACTCATCTTCGATAACTTCCTAATTATCAATAGAAATATAACTGATATTATTTTTATTTTCTAATCGTTATATTCAGCATGAACAGTGATTAAACTTCCATTCTTTAGAGTCATCGATTATTATATTATTTATTTAAACACATAAATATTGGTACAAAGAAGCACCAGATAAATATGCTCCACACAAATCTCATTCGATTTGTGTGAGGGTTGTGATACTTTCCAGGTGCCCAAACTGAAGCAGGTGGTTTTCTTAGGGGGCCATACCCGGAGCCTTTGACCTAAAGGTCTAGTCCACAAGGCAGTGGAGCATCGTGAGGAGATGCAGTCCCATGGTAGGCGGTCATCGATAGAATACGAATACTTTTCTTTAAATCTTTAGTATTTTAGAATATGACTGTTAGCTCTTTTTTCAAAGAAGTAAAATAAGTAGATTTCTTAATTCATAAATACATCATATTAATTTATACTTACAAGAGATTTAGATACATACAATAAAGATAACATTCATTGTACATTATTCTCTCTTTTAAAGTATCATCATCAAACTAAACAAACCGTTATTTAATGAACATGTTTAAAAAAAAGGCAAAAATATAACAAATTTCCATAATTTATTTTTTTAAAATAAAGAAAAACAAAAGACCGCCTTATTTATTTATATATAGAGCGGAGAAAATGCAACTTCAATAAAAAGTTCTCAATGTGTACATATGTAGAATATAGATATCAGAGTTAAGAGAAGAAATTAATAGAACACGAATAGTTTAGAAATAATGAAAATTCATAACAAAACTAATAAGATATCCGGGGAGAATCGATTTGTCTTGTAGGATTTCTTTGACTGGACATGAAATCATTAATTAGTTGAGATGAAACAACCCTGGATGTTGGTTAATATAATTGGAATATTAAATGGAACCATTGTAATGTGTATGTCAATGACGCCCACCGGATGAATGATCCTAGAGAAAAGTAAAAAGACATAGACTTATAAGATGTTGGAACTATTACCATATTCAGCTTACTTACAAGGTAAAAAAATAAATGCTATAAAATCACTGCTAATTATTATTATTAAAAACATGACAATGACATAGGAAATCAAATAAGATCTACCACTTTCTTGTGTTAAAAAGTGAATAAAAGAATCAAATATTATTAAAGATTTACGGTGTAATGCAATAATTGAAACGTGAAAGTTCGTTAACGTTAAAATCTGATGATTGATGGAGGCAGTCAGTCAGTCAGCTACAACGTAGGACCAGGCACATATATGCATCGGTCCAAGTTGCCATACCTCGATAGCACAAGATGAACACCGGATTTATAGAAGTAGTTAATTTAGTGGTGGTAGTATATAAAAGAATGGTTGTATATAAGGATATAGTATAGGAAGGAATAAAGTTATGAGGCAATTCTAATCTCAAGGTTTAAGGGAAGATAAAGAGTGTACACGCCATTGTGATCGATTCTGAGCCATGTCACACAGAGTCTCCAACCATTGGTTACGATAGTCACACGGACCCCAACCAGGTAGTCTGCATTTACCAACACGGCTCAGACTAGAAGTTAGTGACTTCAAGCACTGATGCCATGTTTTGGTTTGGCCGCAACTAACTCTCTTTCACCCATCTCCAACAATACTCAGCATTGCGCGTCGTGGTAATCGATGTTCAGGCATAAGTAACACGTGGCCCAACCATCTCAGTCGACGAAGATTCACAACCTCATCAACTGATTTACCATCATTCCGTAATACCCTTATGTCTAACCTCACTATTATTTACCCGGTGATCCCAGCAGATGCGAGCATCGATGGAAGGGATAGCTTACTAAGTGACCTAAGTTATGGTCAATTGACTACTCAGGGCGAGGAAAGATTTTTGTCCAAGGTCGTATAGTCCTTAACAATGAGTTAAAGGTTATAATAATATGTTCCATGTAAATATCCTTTGGTTTGTTTAGATTCTCAGCGAGTACAGAAATATCTTCATATGAAATAAGTGTTTAGCGGTTACACAACTGATTTCATTCTTCGAATAAACTAATAATCAAGCCAATAAAAACTGTAACTTAACACACAGATACTGGTTATACAATGAGTTAACAAGAACAAATAGTCAAGTGTTAGGAAAAACAGAAAATAATTACTCTGTATTTATATTTATAAATATGTGGTAAGTATATCACATACCTGATTATTCTTTGAATTCGCCTTGACATTATTATTCACAGCATTGGTACTTCGCCTAGTTCGTTTGGCAGGAGGTGCGACAGCTGATGCATTAATATCGTTTTCTTTTTGATGATCTGACTGAGCTTCTAGTAGTTGCATTCTGGTTTGAGAAAGATCTGTTTCTAACTGATTTACTTGAGCAGTGAGTTCTTGGACCTCGATAAGATAAAAAATTGACAATTATCACAACTTTTCGAAGCAACTATGACGTAAGCATATCATGATGTGATAACATATAAGCGACCCACATTATACTTAAAAAAAAATTAAGCGCTAGGGTTTGTTTGCTATATACTTCATATTGTTTGTCTTGATCACTTTTACGACACTGAATGGATTTTTTTCTGGTGGTGAGACTAGGCGAATAGTGGGAATTTTGCAATAGCGTAATTAAAGACGGTGTTAGATAACGTGTTAGGAGAACAGAGAAATGATAAAAATAAGTATAACGAACATTTATTAACAGGTTTCTGTGGCTTCAACAAGTTTTAAGAACGTTAACCAAGTGGATTAAGAAGACCAAACTATCTATCTGTTGGGGATGTCAAATCCCCAGAACTTACTTGGTAAATGGCTTAGTTTTGTACTTTTATATTGGAAATTTGAATTTAGCTGTTTTCGCGCCAAACGCGCTCTTTTTACCTTCACGTCATAATTCCCACTTGTAAACTATCTTAAACGCCATTGGTCCATTGTTCCTTAGTGTGTGCTATTTACTAATGATACTCAAGAACAATTTGTTGTTGTATAAATGCGCTTGACTTTTTTCCCTTATTTGATTGCTTGTACTCGGCTGCTTACGGAATACATATATTCCCCTACTTGCCTTGGACTTCTTCATCTAGTTAGCGGGGCCTGGGACAACAGATTAGAATAGCTTATCGTGTCATTGGCTTTCGTTCGTTACCGCGGAATCGATTTAGTTCAAGCATATCAATATCAACCTTACAAGTTGAACAAGTGGTAAAATAGCCTGCAACTGTGATTTGTCATTTCATAAAAATAAAATAACTTACGCGAGAGGTTGAATTGTATGCTGTCTCTTTTTCTCGGGCAACTTCTTCGGACAACTTTTGTACAGATTGTTGGGCATTAGCAAGTTCTGACTCCAACTTAATAAACATAGCAAACAAAAATGAATATATTGTAATACCTAGTGTACTAAATATTCTACAAAATCAGTAAAATGAATAAATGTATGCCGGCTAAATGATTTGTGGACACAGTCAATACTTTTGTTATATATCTCATTGATATGGTCGATTTCGAACAATCACTTTTTCCATAGTAAGTAATCGATTAACAATGACAAAATAAACCCATAATTATCATGCTGATCTTAACTATTCTCTGATTGACTACCTTTTCTTTTATACTGTTATTGTATTGTATGTCGAAATTACCTTTTTTGGCATGTAAAAAATCACTTGTGTCACACTTTTAACACTTGAGATTAGTAAAAGTTTTTATGACAAGGACAGTACTCTCTTCCCATTAATTAAAACACATGGTAATTACGGTTGAAGTGTTGAGATGACGTACGACGAGTCATGGGATGTGTATTAAAGGAAAGTTTTGTTTTAGTCTTTAACCATTCAGAAGTAAGAAACTTTACCTGTTACGTGACAAATTTCAGATAACTATAAATGAATTAAAAGTTTATCATTATCTAGTTAGTAAAGTCAAAGCTATTCACAGGATTTAATAAAGAATGGGAATAAACGAAGATATTGATGCAATAAATTCTGCGATCCAACTAACCTGAGATTTTAAATTCTCATTTGCTTGTTGGGTTTGAACTGCTTCAGCCATTAGGGTTTTACAACGGTCCTCCATTGAAGACAGTTTAGCTTTAAGCTGTAAGAACAAATAAAACTAATGATGAAGTGCTAATAAACAACAAATATGACGGACGGTGACAAGTTGGATTGATAAGAGATAAGTACGAATACATCCTAGTAAAAAGCCTACAAACGTCAATAAGTAAGAGTTAGAAACTGAAATCTGACAATCAAATTTTCAAAAATATGGGGAATACTTATCGTTAGGAATAAAGCGCACATGGGCTCCATTATTCTGAAGGAACAAATGGCGTATGAACCAATTGTTGGTCACCGGCTACCATGGGACTGCATTTCCTTACGATGCTCCACTGTCTTGTGGATCAGACCTTTAGGTCAAAGGCTCCAGGTGTGGCTTCCTAAGAAAACCACCTGCTTCAGTTTGGGCACCTGGGCAGTATCACAGCACTCACACAAATCAAATGACATTTGTGTGATGCATATATATCTAGTGCCCCTTTGTACCAATATTTATGTGTTTAAATAAATAAATAAACAAAATGAATTTAACAATGTTGTATGTTAAAAATGGTGAACGTTTGCATCTGTTACGACATATATAATCCAAAATTTTGGCCGTTGTAAAATATTATAATTACGGACTTATAGCTAAAAACTCTGATGACAAAGTCATTGAAAATAATTGTTCGCCCAAATATTCTTCATTTTTGAATAATCTGTGGGGATTTTTAAATTTCAAAAATTTATCAGTAAATCAATGTATCGCCAAACATCAGCATAGCATACCTGAGAAATTATATCCAGTTCATTAGACTGTTGATTGTCTTCAGTAGATAGATGCTCTTGACAACGCGAACATACAGCTTTATCTCCGTTAACGATCGGCTCTTCGTTAGCTAGTTTAATTAAATAGAAAAATATGTTAAAGTTGATTAGGTGGGCTATAGGCAGGAAAACAACCATTTATACACTAAAGTGGAATTCTGATCGCATGATGATGTCATATTATAAGTCAAGAAATATTTTTAATATATAAGAAGATATGAATAAGACATATGTCGTTTATGATGTTCCCGAAAGACTCAAACTAGCAACAATATTTCAAGAATTGATTGTAACGGCTCAGAAAACAAGATAGCTAACAAGAAGTTGTGTATTTTTCAATATACCTGTCGGTTATCATGGATCAACAATAAAAGTTGAAGTAAAAAATCTAAATTTCAGGACTCATCTACTTATTTTTGCAGGCAAGGATGGACAGTGGCTAGTAGTAGAATCCAGGACGCGCGTTTCGCCCTATTTGAGGCTCGTCAGCCGGATGTACCTGCATCTCAGAGTTGATGTTCACTCACAGTGAATACCAACTCTGAGATGTAGGTACATCCAGTAGAGTCGTAAAGAGGACGAAACGTGCGTCCAGGATTCCACTGCTAGCCACTACCGATCTTTGCCTATAAAGCCTATGACCTAAGGCAATATCGAGGCACTCTCGCACAGGATGCACATATTCCAACAAGATATTGATAAGTTGTAGTCCTAAATAACAATGGGAAGATACAAATCAACACCAAATGGATTTACTTTTGTACGGTTTTTACATTTAATCACATCATTAGTTTCCCATCACAAGTATATAATAGTGCAATAACTAATGCAGATGAGGAAGTTCTGGATATATGTTTGAGTTTTTTTACAGTCGACACTAAACACACATTAATTCTTCAATAACAACTGAAACAAGCTTTTTATTATTGTCGATTATTTGGAGTTCTTTATTCGAATAGAAACACAATTTTTACTTATTGGCTACATCATGAAAATCGTTATTTTTGCTGGTGAGATGAGAGCGATAGACTCTCTTCATGAAGCTTGAGAATAATTGAGAGAACATATTTTACGATGAAATGTTTATCATAATAACAATAATTATAAATACATTAAAAATACCTTTATTGGGATGACTATCTAGAATACTTTCACAACGTTTGCCTAGTTCGACAATCATTTTGTCTTTCGCAATTACTTTGTTTCTCAAATCGTTTAACTGTGAAGAAAGGAATTTATTGGTAGTTTGCAAACTTGTTAGGTCTGAATGCCAACGTTCAACTTCTGCGCCACCGCGCACAGCTCTGCATCGGACTGATTCCAGCTCTTTTATAGTATTTTCCAGCTGACCACGTGTATTTGAAAGTTGAGTTGTGAGCTCGGAACAAAGGCGTTCTTTTGTTTTGAACTAAAACAGGAAATAACTTACAAAACTACTTTGACAATAATTGAACGATATTATTACTCAATTAATGGTATGACATGCTCACCAAGTACTAATCCCTATATTACGTTTTAAGACATGAACGGGATGCCACTTGGTCGTCAACACTTAGAAGCAGGTGATGCAATGTTTGAACGTGCTACCCAATAGTTAAAAATGGAAGAGTTTAGCCACCGAGTTATTATACTAAATAATAAGACACTAGATCCGTCGGCCGGATACCATGAGCAACAAACTACTGTGGGAGAGGATAAGTCAGCTCCCATCTGTAGAGAAAATTGTTAAAAGACGCTGGAGGCTGATCTGACACATTGCAGAAATCATCAAACTGCATCACGAGGCAAGTCCTAACTTGGGATCCCGTAGTGAAAAGGAAAAGAGGAAGACCAGAAAACATATTCCTAGGAGAATTGGATGAAGATATCAAAAGAATGTATAGAAATTGAGAATTGAAAATCAGAGACCATGACAGAGATGGTTGGAGGGTCCTGGTTGGTGGCCTATGATCTTACATGAGGAGTAACAGGTGTAAGTAAGATTTCAATTCGTAAAACTTCCACGGTACGCATAAGTACTTGTGTATGAGTTACATTCCAAGTGTCAGGGCTAATAATATTACCCGACAGAATGTGAAGTGGGATTCGTACCTAGGACTTCGTGATTGAAAGTCAGACGCGCTGAACATTATGCCACCGGTTCACGATAAATTGATAATGCATAACTAGAAGTGGTTAAGGACATTTCAAGTTAGAATTTAAAGGTTAGATTGATGAGGGGACCCAGTACTACCAAATAAGAAAGTCCCAGTAAACTAAACGAACTTATATGATTGAAGGGCGTTATCGCAATAAAAAATCTAGTCAAAACAACCTTTCTAAACATCACTGGACAAACACATCAGAAATCAGTAAATACTCAGACAAAAATGTTTACCTCGGCAGACATTTTATCAACCTGTGCAGATTTAGCATCAAATCGTGATCGCAGGTCGAATAGCTCCGATCGCTTAGCTTCATTGTCCATTCGAAGTTGATTAACAGCGCCTTGTAGCTCAATGATTTTATTTCTGTCAGAAGGATCACTTTGAGGAATCATCTTTGAGAAGATAAATAGTGAGTAAAATTAAAGTTTGCTTTTAACTACAATATATTAAGCTATTTTTAATTTTTGATGGTACATGAAAGTAAGTTGCAAGTATGTTTGTAATCTCAATTTACCAAAAGTATCATGAAAGAGTGAAGAATATCACCTTTACAAACTTATAAATGTGCACTAGATCTACTCAATGGAACACTATTCAATCTGGATTAAAACTTATAGCACTCAAATGTGACTGGTTAAAACGACAGTCGAATATGGTCACGTTTCGTAGTTGAATTAACCATAATCTTAGCAACTCGGTCATACTTAAGCTAATCACAAACTTACATTGTAAAACAAACACGTAATATGAGTAAGACAATTAATGGGAATAAGCATCGTTTACAGTATTTTGGTTTTAATAAAGACACACTGTTCTATGGGATCGCCTGATGTGAAAACTGGTCAGTTATTCAGATTTATTGACAAACGATAATACACTTACTGGTTTAGGAGGAGTAGCTATGGCTGCTTCTTCTAGCCGCTTGATTCTTTGTTTCAGCTCTTGGTTTTCTTTTTCCATGTTCTCCAAATCGGTCTCAGTTCGCTTGCGTCGTTGATATTCTCGATCTCGTTTACTTCGTAAACGTTCAATTTCGGCTTCTAATTCAATAGGACCTACTCCTCGACGAGCTAAGTCTTCACGAGCAGTTGCCAACTCACGTTTCAGTATACTGATTTGAGCTGTAAGACTTGAACGTTCAACATCGGCGGCTTCGAGTTTTGAAGCCTTTTTCGATATTTCCTAAACAAATTAATTTTTAAATCACATAAATTAACGATAAATTTCGAGCGGAAACTGTGACAATTAAATATTATTGAATATGACCGAATAAACGATAAGTTTTCCTAATGAGCAACAACAAAATGATACTGAAAATGAAATGCACTGACCTCATGAATACGGAGGATTACGTCTTCCCGATAAGTCAGAAGTTGATTAAGCTCGTTGACTTGGCTCTCTAGTTCCATCACCTTAGCACGCAGAGTGGCAGGATCAGTCTTCGAAAGTCGTTCTAAATCGTTTTCCAGCTTTTTGTCATCAGCGATCCATGGAGGCAAAGTGGGTCCAATCAGACGACCACCAAGCTGTGATAAAAAAGAAAGCCAGCATATTTTCAACCGAAGTATGAATATTATTAAAGTAACCTACAAATCACATCTGACTAAGCAGAATTTAGGACTAAAACCTTTTTACTCCATAACCAAAAGATAAACCGAAACATTTCGCTTGTTGAACTATTTCGGATACAAATAAAAAGATTACATTTGACACGAATTTTTAAATCAAGACAGGTAGTGTAAGGTCTGGTACAAATGTATGTTGACACACTCCGCATTAAAATGACCGAAAGAAATTAGAGGTAAAAAGTATAAAAGTTTGTACTATGCTACCATGAACAAGTCAGATTAATTCCAATCGTTAATCTGTTACGGAGGATCGGAGTGCATTACGTAGCAGACTTCTTTTTAATGATACGTAGTTGTGGAACATGAAGATGTACGTAAGCTGAAAGAATATGACCATAGATATCTTCGAAGTATTTCCACCGCATGGTGAAAAAAGTTGGGTAAGAGGTGGTAAAGTTGGAGCTGGCATACTGGTTGATGCAATAAAACTCCGACTGTATAGATTAGCACTTGTAATACGCATTTCTAACCACGCCCTACTCCAACCTGCAATGTTTTCTGACAGGTTTAAAAAACACTAGAGATAGAGCAAACAAAACATGGTACCGACCTAACAAGTTATCTTTTGGGTTAAGCTATGCCACAAAGAGTAGACTTAAGCTGAGGTTCACCTAGTACTCATAATTACGGGTTGGCAACTGAGTGAAACGGCGCAAAATTGATCACAGTGACAGACTAACATTCCGTCATTATTTTTTAAATCTTGAATTGTCATTTTTAATATATCATTCCTTTGAAATATATTATTCATGTTCAGACTCCCGTTGGTTTCGACATATTCTATCCTTTCTATCATGTTGATCCATTTTTTGCTTTATTGATCTCAGATGTAACATTTATGCACATTTATTCAAGGTCCTACGTTAGAGATGATTGACTGTTTTCGGAATCTTAACCGGGAAACCTGAAATTTTTTGATGGTTTAAACTAGTGGCTGATTACTTCAGAAACGAATTACTTACTTACGCCTGTTACTCCCAATGGAGCATAGGCCACCGGCTTCAGAAACGAATGAAACAGCGTAAATCCCCGGGTCAAGTGGATGACATTTAATAAGTGAAGACTTATAGTTTGGTTGAATGACTCACCGCCCTCTATTAGAGCCTTACATCTTACAAGGCTATTTCTTATTATCTTCTACTCCCCATTAAGCTTAGAAAACACTCAATGTTGAGTATTTTTATACCACACAATTGTTCAATGATTCAAACAATCAGTCTTTAGTTAGCCCGTCTTCGGTATGAGTTTTTATTTTGGTCTTATCATTGTCTCCAAAGAAAGAAGTGAGTTTCAAGACCAATGGTGATAACTGGTTAGCTATATATTTTGCTGATGCTAAGGTTATTTGTGAATAGTAAGGAAGGTATGTGTTAACATAGCGTTGTGAAGTCAGTTGAATCAGGTTTGAAGATATTGGAACATAATAAGAGTTATGCAACTTGCACATTATCTCGGTAACTATATCTCCCATCTACAAAGTCATACACTGCAAAGATGTACACAATGTACTCATTTTTAAATAAGTTGGGAGTTCAGTCACCACCGTAGATAGTAGAGACTGAACAGAACCACAAAATATTTTATTCAATGATGAGATTCCATCAGCGACCAACCCACTAATGCTCATGGGACTCTAAATAAATAGAACCGTTATACTAGCGAGTCCCAAACACCAGACAAACCTCCATGGTTTGCTCTTATACGTATATTTCTTTCATGTAATGTTGGAAATAGTGATTACCAGAACAAACGTGTAGAAATCCAAATTTGTCAGTTTGCTTACTATTCTTGTTACCATACTTTTCGAGCCAAATCACGTATATATCTTACGTAAACGACAATTGAGTGAAGTTCCAACTAACACGTATGAACTCATCTAAGACTTGCATAAGTTGTGTTTATCTTAGCAGAATTCCGCAATGTTGAATATAAGTACCTCATCAAGATCCAGCTAAGTACACGCATAATCAAGATGTTTTGTAGATCTTCTCACCTGGATGATCATCCTTGTTTAGCGATAGTCCACAAAAATTTTGAACAAATATCAACTGATTATTGAGGGGAAACAGATTTAGTCGCTTACCATACCACCACCATATCTTCTTTCAGAATGTGCCATTTCCTTGATACGTGCTTCCAGAGTTGCGCATTTCTCACCCAGCTTCTCATATTCATCTAGTTGTTGTTCCAACTAAGGTTTTAAAAAATGAAACGAAATCCTGGTATACATGAAGTGATTTAATTAGCATAAGTTCACAATCATTATATATATATATGCGAAGTAAATTCGATAAGCTGGTTGGATGGTGTAGATGTCATGACTATGCAAGCCATGCGTTTACAAATTAAATGTCAGTAGAGAGTGAGGACAACACAATTGTTACCAATAACCACAAAAATAATTTAAGGAGTCTGCAATAAACTAAACAAGACGATCTAATTCAGATGCATACACACCCAAATCGTGAGGCCTAATATTACATACCACCAGTTTAAACGGAAATATAATATATTTGGACAGCTAACATGGTAACTAAGCGGGAAATTGAGAACACGGTAAAAACTTCGAGACGGCGGGCACGAATTTTTGTTTTAGAATGCCTCGGGACCAAGTATATTTATAAAAAATAATGCAAAGAAACAAACCTGCATTTGCAGTTGCTTTTTATCACAACATAATTCTTCAATCTTCTGCTCCAATCCGCTTTTAACTTCTTTAAGTTCCGCAATACGATTTTCGGATTTAGCCTGTTCGGATTTGAAATACTCGTTAGCAGCAGCTAATCCACTCTCACTAGTTGTTTCAGAACTAAAAGAATAATTAATTGAAAAAATTAATTACCGATCATTGACCAAATTATCAAAAAGTTCCTGTAGCGCCTTCAATCGTTCTTTTAAGTCATCAGCATCTTCACCTCTAACAATAGCTATATTTAATTCCGTCTCTAGATTAGAGGTTTTATGTAACAAATTATCTCGTTCCTCCGTGATATTTCTCAAGCGTTCTTCAATTTCCTTCGTGAAATTACTTTGTTTTACAATAATGCTATCCTTGATCTGAAGAGGGAACTCAAGAAATTAAAAGAAATTTACCTTTATTAAACCGGATGCTTCATCTGCACGCCTTTCAGCATCAGCTAATTTAGCTTCACAACTTTCTAATGTCATACGTACGCGTTCACATTGTCCTTGTGAATCGGCTAATTCCTGCTTTGTGGCATCGAACGCCTTAAGACGCCCTTCTAAGTCAGCAATCTGCAAACGGCAATCCATAACCTTTTTTTTCTCATCCCTATTCTGATTGACAAGACTTCGATTGCTTAACTGCAAACTTGAAATATCAATCTTCAACTTTTTATTCTCTTCGACAAGCACCCTAAAAAGGCGGTAAGAAACAAGTCTAATCACAAATGTATATACAGCTAGGAAAAATTAGCTTCCATGGGAAATATCAAAGCGTGGTGTGAGAGATACACAACAAGAGATTACTAGTCTAGTAATCACAATGAATTGTCCAGGATGTGGATTTGGTTCACAAAGGTTGATGAAATACACTAACCTGAACTAAACAGAACTCTCATTAACATACCCATATTGTTCCTCGTAATTGATTTCCTCTACCACAGTTTCTTCTGTCATCCTGAAAATGGAATTTTACAGAAATATTTGGTAATTTGGCAGCAATTTTAGATGAAATAATGTAAGGTATATTTTAAATGACTTGAGAAACTCAAGAAAGTAAAATGTAAATGAAAGATAAATCGATCGTAAACGTTTAGTTTGATGTGCACGGAGAGTCCTACCAAGTGAATTGAAAATGGGCATGGCATCAAAAATATGGTTGTTGGCTTGTCATATTTTATTCGGTTTGGCGCAAAGGCCGCTAATCAATTTAAATTAAAAAGTCTATCCCTAGTTCCATTAGGATTCCTCAAAAGTAAAGCGACATGTAGCACTGTATTTTAAGAGGTATGACAACTGCCTTATCCCGAGATAATAGATAACTAGTTTTGAAAAACTTTCTTAAAAATCCAGACCTGATTATCGGAACACGGTTTCACATCTCACCAAAGAAAAAGCACAGTTTACTTGTATAGGTCATCAATATGTTAACTACAAGATTAAAGCTAAAATATCACAATAGTATGAGGATTGATTAGTGATAATTTTTCCGTTACAGTTATGGAATTTGCACATACAAGCTACGACTAAATCTAGGTCTGAGAGGTCTTTAGACTACATTAGTGAGGTCCACTTGAATGGCATTTATATTAAAAGTACAGCCACTGATGAAATACTGTAGACGAAATAAGTGCTAGCAACTTTTTTCGACTGGTGCTATTTTTCCTCGCTGAGTTGATTTTATTGTTTTGATCGTGGATTACACATCAAAACTACTGTTTTCACTTTAATTGAATTCATTTTAGTTAAAGTATTCGTCAAGAGTATCGTCTTTCGAAAGTAACTGTACTTATAAGTTCATTGGTTTTTTGTTCTTGTTTGCACTTTCGGTAAAAACAGTCTGTAGTTTTTCACTTTTTGTGGTCATTAGTTTTTCTTGTCTCTGTGTAGTTTGTGTCGTTCCTCTAGAAAACTTCCAATTGATGAATGGATAGCGCAAAAAAGCAATTGCCAACACCCAGGCTATTGATACCATGTGGGAAGTGGCACGCAGTGCGATGAGTGCAGAGGATGGCACCACCAAGTTTGCACAAATCTAACGCCTAAGGCTTTTAAACGGTCTAATGAAAATAGTTGCATATGGTTGTGTCAATAGTGCCGCTCAGACGCAAACAGCTTGCTATCTAAAGCCATTGCAATGGTGGATGCTGCTAAGAGGAGTATTAAAAAGCATAGTCGATACACAAGTTAATGTGGAGTTACCTCAGACAAGCTCGACTGACTTAAATGGGCCAAATGAGGAAGGACAGACTGTAAAGAGGTCTATTAGGAATAAAAGCTTAAAGGAAGCTTCTTCTGTCCCACGTCCTGTGAATGACAGCCAGCAGGAGACGCCTAGAAAACCTAATCGTAAGACTAGGTTTGTTTTTAGCAGGAAAAATAAAAACCTGACCACCCAAGTCGTCAATAATCACCCAGGATCCTACAATATGTGTAACGTAACTGTGATTGCCACTCCAATGGAAGTTGATGAATGGATACAGATCAAAAATAAGGAACGACATAAGGTTACTAAAGAAAAACCAGTCCCTCAAACGGTAGCTGAGAAACTCAATACTGTTCATAATGACCAACCGAGCTATATTGGCTGGAACGTATGTTTTTGTAGGTTCTACCATGCCAGGCAGATCGATTGGAGAACGTTAAGATTAAAAGCAGCAACTCAAGGTCTGAGGACGAAGTCGTAATGCTGACTGTAGAGGGCTGTGACAGCAGTAAGGTGTTTCCCTCCGAACCCCAGCATCTGCAGCGATGCTGCATTCTCATAAGGAAGGAAGGGGTTAGAAAATGTCGACCCTAAAAATGTCATGCCTCACCTTACGGATTTTCGTCTCCGGCTCTTTGAAGAACGGAGCTAACGAGTCAAAAATCCCCCACAAAACAACCGTGCGCGACCAGCCTCAATCAGTTGTCTTTTGGATTCTGCGGTCACGCTCACAGGTGGTTAGGACAAATATTAATCTAATTTCCTTTTCAGGTCCCTTAAGAAATACCCTCCCACGGTATGACTGACCGATTGATCATAGTGACAGGTCAGTTATATTCCAGAGTCAAGGAGAGTGAAAGCTCAGAAACCAAAACTTGTTTAGAGTATGGCACTGAGTTGATGGAAAGGGCTACTCAGTCAGCTAATGCCTTAAGATACCTTCGGAGTCACCTTGCTAAAAGTATACACATTAAGTAACCAAATGAATTTGAAATAAAATCAATCCAGGCTGCTTAAATATTATTCGAATCTACTAACGAGAGGTACTTGGTATTAAAGAAGGGGCACACCTCTCTCGGCTCTCACGTCTTCCACTGACCTTCTGCATTTTACAGTAAGGCAAATATGATCAAGCTGGTTCTCTGTGATGTGGTCGGGTGAGACCCATGTAGCCTTGTGTATGAGGTTGTGTGCAAATATAGTTACATCTATAACCACTTTGTTGAATGCACACAAATTTGCAAATCTCTCGCAATTTTTATTCCCTTCTCTCAGTCAGTCCATTTCGTCCTATGATATCTTCATACCCGGTGTTGGTCATTACCACTTTGGTGTTTAAGTCTCTTATGAGGATGGTCAGCTACTCGTCTGGACACTTCCATACTATCAACTACAGCCTCTGCTAAACCTGATCTTTATCGTCTTCATTGTTATTATTCGTGGGTGTATAGCATTAGGTAACATTCACTGTAATTCCCTACTTCCTTGTTTTACAAGATGCTTTGGTGATCCTGGATTCACAAGATTCCAACTCTGTGCATTTCATGCTTCTTAGGACAGCATCAGAGCAACTTCCTGAGTGTGTGGAGCATTTTCTTCTTCGTGACCAGAGTTCTGCAGCGTCTCTTCTGAAGCTATTATTTTCTGTTCAGCTTGGGTTCAATGAGTTGGGCTGATTCGGAGCACTGTTAATTTGTATCTCCTCATCTCCGTCGCTATTTGATTGGTCCTTCAGGTCTCCCACATTGTCCGGATATTCCGTGTACCTAGATTAATTGTTGCTCTGGTTGTTAGAAGGGGCATCAGCCTCGTGACTTCCGAAGTCTCGGTTTTTACCATGATATGTCATAATTCTACTAAATGAAGATGCTTCAACTTCCAGGGCACAGTACAAATGGTTTGAAGTGTTTTTGTGGTAAGTGTACACTTAGCAGAGTTGTTTTTTTCTATCCTAGTGATAATAAAAGTACGGGTAACTTCCGGGACCTATTGATGGACTAATATTTTATATTCTTATGGTTTAACTATTGATCAACCAGATTGTGTGTATCTATATTCATCTTATTATAAGCTTCACTTTGACCTATGGATTATTATACGAATTACTGTTCCTAAATTATGTTTATTGATTATTGTCTCCCACGTTCACAGCTACATTTGGCGTGATCTTGTACAAATTATATTTCCTATTTTACGATGTGATGCGGTCTGTCTGTCTGGTATATAAATCGAGTATGCTTGAAATAAATGATTCGCATAGCAGAAGCTGCAATTGTTGTTCTGGACTCAATTGTTAAGGCTAGGCGGACAAGGAACTAGTAAGGACGCTAAGCTACTGATACTGGTCGAACGTCATTGATTTGTCAGTGTTAAGATTAGACAAGTATTTCGATTAGTAGTTAATTCACGTGATGAAAAGCCGGACATAGAATCAATAATGAACTAGCATACGGCCTTCTTTATTTTTAAAATTCTTAAGTTTTCAATGTGATGCCGTTGCTGATTTCATGTTCAACGCCCCTGAATTACCTCGGTTTGGGACCGGCAGTAACTCAAGAGGGGCTATTTTTTATTTATTTAAGCACACAAATGATGGTACAAAGGAGGCACCAGGTACATATGCTCCACACAAATCGAATGAGATTTGTGTGAGTGCTGTGATACTGCCCAGGTGCATAAACTGAAGCAGATGGTTTTCTTAGGAGGCCACACCCAGAGCCTTTGACATAAAGATCTGATTCACAAGGCAGTGGAGCATCGTGAGGAGATTCAGTCCCATGGTTGCCGGTGACGAACGATTGATTAATACGCCATTTGTTCCTTCAGGACCCTGGATCCCATGTGCACCATTGCTTTTGAATCAGGTTTTTCAACTCCCCTAGGTGGATACCACATCCACCAACCCAGTTAAACCGCCGGACATTCGCTTTTCGTCCTCTCACATCAAATTCAGGTGCTATAGCCGGAGTTACTCATTAGAAATACTATACCGTTTACGGTAATTGACTAGGTATCTCATAAGAGTGGGACGTTTGATTTAGTTAGTTGATGCTTGAAAAGCAAAGGGCAAGAGCTGCTGATTGGTTTGTTCTACCACAGTTCATGCTGTGAAATGAATGTCTTGCTAGATGGTCGATTTTTAACCTTAGACTATAACTCACCTACGGTAGAATGGAAAAATCAGAGAATTGAATCATCAGAAAGGTCAATCGAACAGAAACCAGTTTATGTGGTTATCATATGTACTGAAGTGCAACATGTGAAAGAAATAACTAGGTACGACCCGGACTCTGAACTATCCTTACTAGATCTTTTGACCAGTCACAAGGATGACGTCACAAACCTTGATTACATGCCACCCCTAGGTAAAAGTAACTATGCAGTTCTAAACTTTGATTTCTTTATAGTTATCGATAACGACCATGTGTCAGTCCAACCCAGACCTAGCGTCTGGAAAGCAAATATGGATATTAAGCACTCAGCATCCCCAGTAGATTAGGCAACATGGCTAGAGTCTCCAATTTTAACGGCTTGGGAACTCAGTAACTCAACACGTGGTTTAAGATCCATCTGTCGACGCTCTCAAAAGAAAGTTGTACCAACTGAGAAACCACCTTTGTCATGACTAACACAAACCAACTAGCCACCTGTTCTTCCCAAAATGAAACTGAAAAACTCGCGTTGTTCGCTTGCTTAGTAGCCTAAGATCTTGCCGACTATTACGCCCTGAAGGGTTGCAACATTGATTGTCTTCTCACGCAGAAATTGTTCAGGAACCACGCTGCTTTTCTAACCTACCTCAGATGCATACGAAAGGGGCAGGATAGATGCATCACCTGGCTCGAAAACGGTATGTCTACCCATTAAGTGTATAGCAGTCCTAAAAGTTGCAGTATTGAGTGCCGTGTTATTCCTACACTATGTTACAGAATTGCAGGTTGTTAAGAGTTATCAACCTTAATAGTCGGCGTAAACGTTTGGAGTATAAGTACTGATTATGTTAAGTCTCAGCTTAAAACAAGTTTAAGCCAATGCATTAGATTCTCTCAAAGTTAAGGCTCAGAAGTTAATAACTCAATGAGAGTTCTAATGGACATAAATAAGAATAGTAAACTACTATCTGTAAAAGTTGGGCATGTGAATTTAAGAGCGGTACATTGATGATTGTATACTTCAATGTATTGTCCACCAAGGTTCAACACGCACTAAAGTCACTTCATCAACTCTTTTGAATTGACCACCCACTTTATATTTGGTTAGAAATGCTGTAACCCGAGCCTAGACAACAGTACAGATTTAATTAGGTGTAGGGAAACTGAAAACGGACATGAAAATGTGTGCAACCGGTCTGAATGAATGAGGGAATAGTAACAACTCGACGTACTTGTGAAAAGACACTCCTCTAATATAAAATACGATAGAGACAGTGCGATTCTGGATGAAACCGAAAACAAACTTTTCAACCTACCCACGCTGTATTGAGGACTAGGCACACGATAAAACAAAACTGTAAAAGTTTATATGACCAAGTAAGTTAACTTTTCTTTACTGAAAACAGTCATTCAAGTTCTTAAACATGACTATTGAAAACCAAGGTAAACACACTGACGAATTCATATCCCAGCATCTGTGATATGAACATATATAGAAACTGTGCGGGCAGAAACGTTACTTGGATTACTACATATTCTAAATAATTTGTTGTTATTCTTTTCAATCTGCTATAATTCCCTATTATGATTCTGCACTTTTGGATCCTGATCGTCTGATAGGACATTCTCAGAAAGTTTAAAAACCGAAGTCAAATCGTTCGAATCTGGAGTTCCGTTTCTGTCACCTGGTAGAGAATTACTGGAAATCTCCGTCAGCATTTTATATGTAAATATTTACAACTGATAATTTTGGATAGGTTCAATTGAACTAAGAAGTTACTTGGTAGATTTTATGGGATATTTGTCTCTTGTAACCTATGGCGTGTCAAACTATTTGCTTCTAATTTAGACTTCAAGTGCTCTGATCTGAGGCTTGCTTTCTCTGATTGTTGTCTGATGCTTTCCCGATTAGATATAGGAGTATTTTGTGTGTCTGCTGGATGGCTGGCTCACCTTCCTCATTGTTCTTTTCTTTTTCCAGCCCTTCTCACTCACCCAATCCCGTCTTCACCTTCAGCATACAAAGTGCCTTATGGCCAGACACGAATCGCTGTAGTATATGCGTCTGAGAGGTAGGATACAGTTCGGCGAGACTATAATTTATGGACGAAATGTCACTGAGTCCTAACCCAATAATCCGGGAGTTGGGGCACTGAATGTTGAACAGCTCACAGACCTCCGTCAAGTTCTAAGACAGCCAACACATCAGTTGATCGTATGCCATGGACTGGACCATGAGGTGATGGTCTCACTATCTTGCATATACTCACTCTTACCAATATATTTTCACAATAACGTCCTTGGTGTTGTAAGGTCAAAGCAACTATAATGCCTTGAAGCATCGAATAAGAAATCCACGTCAAGTGCTGAACACGAGGTGTGACTTCGAAGTTGTGCTAATGAGTTGGAAGCAGCAGCTGCATCTGCTAACTGCCGGAAGCTCTCCTAACACATCCGAGCCACTGGCAGCAAGAAGTCTGCTGTGAGTGAAATAATCTGTGAGGATGACGGGATGCCAATCACTAACATCCACCTACATCTTGGACGATGGACAGAGTTCTTTGGAGGGCAGTTCAACTGGCCTGCTGCTCCTGCAACATCGACCACATTGTCCTGCCCTCCATGGCCTGTGACGATTGCCCCACCAAATAAGGCGGAAGTCTCCAAGGGACTCTAAATTTTGAAACGCTACAAATCACCGGGCCCAGATGACTTACCTCCAGCTCTTTTTAAAGATGGTGGTGATTTTCCGGCTAAGGAATTAACTGAGTTGTTTACAAAGGCCTGACAGTTATAGTGTTCCAACGTCATGAAATGAGTCGATTTTTGTCCCTATCTTTAGTAAGAGTTACCGTAGTTCCTATGACAACTGTCGAGGGATATGTCTACTTCCGATCGAGTCCAAATTATTGACTTTCAACATACTTCATAGATTGTTCAAAACACGAGAAAGATTGATTCTCGATGAGAAGGCTGGTTTTTGTTCTGGTCGAGGGTGTATTGATTATATCCTCACCCTCCGCCAAATATCAGAACACCGTCATACTTATCACAGGCCAACAGTCGTAGTGTTTATTGATATTGAGGGCGCCTTCCATTCGTTGAACAGGACCATTCTCTGGGATTGTTTGTTGAATTGTGTGCCTGAAAAGTTTGGTAACATCTTACAGGCCCTATATACAAACACCTCAGGCAAAGTGAAGGCATACAACCACCTCTCTCCATTGTTCCATTCAAGCAATGGGGTTAGGCAGAGTTGCCGAATCCCACCGTTACTCACCAACCTTGCTTTCGATGATGTTCTGGAAACAGCTCTGTTGGATGTAGGAAATGGTGGTGTGGATCTGTTTCCTGAAGACAGACTTCTTGACTTTGAGTATGCGGATTACAATATCTTACCCTACGATAATGTTCAAGCCATGCAATTCACACTTAATCAGTTGGCAGTCAGTGCCCGTAGGTATGACATGTGCTTCCCATCTTCCAAAAGTAAAGTACTTTTACAAGACCGGCAGAACCCTCATCCTGCACTCACCCTGGATAGTGAGCAGATAGGAGTAGTCGAGAAGTTCGTAAATCTAGGAAACTGCATTAGTGCTACTGGTAGCGTGAATGATGGGATCTGATCACGTAAAGTGAAAGCCAGAACGGCTTATGCCAATCTGGGCCATCATCGGCACCTTCGTTATGTTAGTCTGGTTGTAATAGGTCGGATCCACAATGCGTTGGTGAGAGAAGTTCTGCTCTATCCTTGTGAAACCTGACCTCTCTGATTTGAGGATGTTAAGCAACTCTCTGTATTTGATCATCGTTGTCTCCGAAGATTTGCTGACATCCAGTGGCAAGTCCATGATAGTGGTGCATTGTGTGTTCGAGCGCACAGACGATAATCCATCTTCAAACATCGACTTCGGTGGCTTAGACATGTTCTACTAATGTCGTTCCAGAGGATGCCACGTCTTGGATTATTTGCCGATGCTGGGACTGGTTGGAAAAAGTTAAGTGGTGGTCAGTGTTTGACTTGATCTCGTGGTATGAAAGAAAGCTGTAAAGAACTGGCTTCTATCGGTCCTTCACGACTCTGTGGCTGGGGTCCAAGAGATGGTGTAACACAGTGGCTAGAGACGTTATCAGATATGGCTCGGATTGAAACCAGTTGTGATCCTGCTGTAACCTTCTTTTACTTCATAAAAAGTGGTTGTTACTTCCATAACTGAAAGAATTCTTCCGGTTGTACCTTTCTCATTTTTTTGTGTGGCGCATATATATCTAGTGACCCCTTGTATCAATATTTATGTGTTCAAATAAAATAAATAAATAAATGGCTGGTTTGTCACACTATTCCTGTCTAACTGCAGTAGGACCTCAATTATTCGACATAGATCATCTACGTTAGTGATCTGCAGTTTTGTATAGCATAGGTTGCAAGTTCGAATCTTTCAGGAGATCAGAGTAGGATTTATAAACGGCCTACAGAGTATGAGCAAATCTACTACAATTGACTTCAAGGCAAACCACAATACCCCAGTAGCTCGGCAAGATATCTCCAAGGCAGCTACTACAATGAATCATGGGCTGTTCGATTGTGAATACATGTCATTCGGCCTTAACAACGTGCTGCAAACACATCAAAGGTTCATACACAGGGTACTTTGGGCTATACTTTCTGCACACAAACTTACGCGTTGAGAATCAATAAAAATATTCCCAACAAGACGGGACCAGATGTTTATCCGAAGGGATTCCAGCAATCTTTTGAAGCAGACAGTCGAAGGTTAACAGTCACACACTGAACCACACCATGATCTTGGCCTAGTTGAACATGACCTTATTGTTAATAGTCCGGCAACATGTAACAGAAAAATTAGGTGACAAAAGATAAGTCTTTACTCAAAGTCAAATAATAAAAGTCCAAACGGGAAGACTGAAAAACGCAATGTGTAGTTAAGTGAGATATGAATAAAGTTTAAAATACATGATAGGGAGAGGGAACAAGTAAATGATAGTACTGTCCAACAAAATGCTGTAGGGGGCTTAGCGTCCTCTTTCCGTTACACACATGATAGAGGACTATCAAAGAATCCGTCCTGAAGTCAGTCTTAACAAATATATGTGGAAGATTTCTATTCGAATCTCCACAATGCAGCTTCTGCCAACCCTAATATAAGCACAGTTACTAGTTTTATAGGTGCAACTCTGACCTTACCATAGAGCAAAGAGCTGTTCTGAGGTTTGTGCTTAGGGATGTTCCACAAGTAAGCCACTGCAATTTAATCTGTTTCAAAGTGACTACAAAAATGTAACTCATTTTTCCCAAAGTTCTCTCTGTTCTCATTTCTTATAACTGAAGGAATGTCAATTATCCCGAGCTTTCACACCAACTTAAAGCAATAGTTCCACGATGACAAAACACTAGCACTCAAAAGCTGGTCACAACCAATGTGTGACTCCCAAAGGTTTTGTATAAGTTGCTTGGCAGGAAGGTATATTGAAACAACTAGGCCTAGTGGATGGAACAGACATGAATTCGATATTGTACCAAAAATCTCAATCAGTTAGTCAGCTACAACGTAGGTCCAAGCACGTATATGCGTCAGTCCAAGTTACGAGACCTTATTAGTACAACAAGATGAGCACCGAATTCATAGTAGTTAATTTAGTGATGGTAATATATAAAAGAAAGGTTGTATATAAGGATATAGTACAAGAAGAAAGACAGATATGAAGCAATTTTAATCTTAAGGTTTAAGGGAAGATAAAGAGTGTACACACCTGTGCCATTGTGATCTATTCTGAGCCATGTCACAGAGAGTCTCCAACCATTGGGCTACGATAGTCACGCGGACCCCAACCAGATAGTCTGCATCTGCCAACATGACTCAGACCATCATCTCCTAATACCCTGTGTCTAAATTCACTATTATTTACCCGGTGATTCCAGCAGATGCGAGCAATATTTCCAAGGTATCTGTATTCAAATACTAGTAACCTACGAGTATCTTCTACGCTTAATGAACATGTTTCACAGCAGTAATTTAGAACAGAACGAACTGCTGTGCAGTATATTTGTACCTTAATTTATAGACGGTTATCTCGCCTTCACCATTGGTGACGTAAGTTGGCAAAAGACAAACAAGGTTTCTGAATCCGTGCAGAGACTTCGTCAGACAACAACCCATTAGGGTTGATCAGACTTCCAAGATAAGTGACGTTGTCGTTGCGCCCAACTACTTCAATACCTATCCTTAGTTCAGGTGTTGACGCAGGCCAGTCCTGGAGTAACAATTTACATTTAGATGGGGCGAAACGCATTCCAAACATCCTCGCATTGTTACTCA